GTAAAAAAAAAAAAAAAAAAAAAAAAAAGAGACTTCAGAACACACCTGTTTTAATGCAGTCAGAGCTTTACATCATGTGCCTAAGTACAAGTTTATTTTCTATTGGTACATTAGTAAAATAAATTACTGTAATTCTCACATGATCTGTGTGTTCCTTTCCAAGCTAAGCATAAGGAATACAAGGCTTTTCTTACTTCCCTAGCTCTTCTGTTCCCAAATCTAACTTGTGCACTATGCCAGCCTGCATCAAGCCTATAAAACAGCGCGGTCATCACCTTAGTATTTCCCTAAATGCCCCATTATCCCCATGTATGCAGTAGAGCCTGTCCTAATAAGGTAAATCATATTCTGTGGGCAGCAGTCATTTGGGTTGCATAGATAGCACAAAAACTTGCAAAGAGCAGTGCACACTACTGTAGTACTCAGAACCCAAGGGGCAGGCACCAGAAGTCCAAGTACTTCACTTGGTTCAGTACAGTGCCAGTGTGCAACACTATTACAGCCATATTTACCCATTGCTGTGTGGAAACTCTGAGCTGAGCTAGCCTTCAATGATTGGAGAAACAGAAGCTCATTCATTCATGTTAACTTCAGTAAAGATTTATCTTAAGAATGTAGGCCTTTGGTTCCTTCTAGTAGGCAGTCCACCTAAAGATGTATGTGCATCTTTGCCAGGTTTCAGTTATGGCTACAGACCTGACAAATTAGCTGTCCCTTGTGGCCAATTATATGGCTGTAACACACCCAGAGCCCCCAGTTTCACAGTCGGGGCCACCATTTTTAAGGCTGCACTTGGCGAGCAGTTTCAGTAGGATGGCTCCTGCCCCAGCACATGAGGCTCTGGCTTCAGCTCCCAGCTGCTGGATCTGGAGCCAGAGCCCCAGCACTCTTTGTAGGTCTGAGCCCACTCACTTGCACTGAAGCAGCCTCTGCCATGTGGCCTTGGGTCCACCATGATCTGCTGGCTGGGAAATTGGCTCCGTGGTCAGACCTGGGGGGTTGTAATTGAAGTTCAACATCTTCATTAATGATGCGGACATTAGAGTCAGGAGCGGACTGGCCAAGTTTGCTGATGACACCAAACTTTGGGGCAAAGCATCCATGCCAGGTGAAAGGCGGGTGATCCAGGCTGACCTGGACAGTCTCAGCAAATGGGCAGACGAGAACCTGATGGTGTTTAATACTGAAAAATGCAAGGTTCTCCACCTTGGGGAAAAAAACCTGCAGCATCCTTATAGGCTTGGCAGTGCTATGCTGGCTAGCACTATGGAAAACAGAGACTTGGGGGTCATCATTGACCACAAGATGAACATGAGCCTGCAATGCGATACTGCAGCTAGTAAAGCAACCAAAACGCTGGCTTGCATCCATAGATGCTTCTCAAGCAAATCTCAGGATGTCATTCTCCCCTTGTACTCGG